TGGTATATGGATATGTGTCCTAACAATGTGTCCATCCTGCAATGTTCTGATAGAAAGAAACAGAGCATGCAAGAAAGAGAGAGACAGAGATTGAGAAAGAGAAAGAGAGAGAGACTATGTACTAGTGGGGGCACATATATATATATATATATATATATATATCTTTTAGAGGCATTGTTCATTTGTATGTTGTCAATTATTCTCAAACTTAGGAGTGAAATTCCATGTTTATTTTTTTTCCTCCCTGTCTAGAATTTCTTTGACAGTTTCTTTTCCTTTATTTCCTATAACTGATTGTACTTTCGAGCAATCTCTTGAGCTTGAGAAAGTCATAAATTCTCCCTCTGTGGTCAATTAAACTGGTTGGGGAAAAGTCTCTTGATTTGCCAATACTGGTGGTTATTATAGAATGTAGGATGATGAGGTTTTGTGTTTGGATCTGAATCTGTTAAACTATAAAACAAATATATTTTTATTTATACATTTTACTTTTTGGATTTGAATCCATTAAAAAGTATACTTTGGATTTGAATCTGTTAACATATATTTCTGAGCAGTCTCCAAAATGAAAGACAGGGTGTTAAGCTTTCTGACAGATATGGTTTGGCTGTGTCCTCACCCAAGTCTCATCTTAAATTGTGGTTCTCATAATCCCAGGTGACCTGGGAGGAACCTGGTGGGAGATAATTTAATCATAGGGATGGTTTCCCCCATCCTGTTCTTGGGATAGTGAGTTAATTCTCCCGAGATCTGATAGTTTTGTAAGGGGCTTCTGCCTTTGCTGTGCACATATACTTCTCTTTGCTGCTGTGATGTGAAGAAGGACATATTCGCTTCCCCTTATGCCATGATTATAAGTTTCCTGAGGCCTCTCGGGAACTGTGAGTTCCTGAACTCATGCTGAACTATGAGTTGATTAAGCTTATTTCCTTTATAAATTAACCAGTCTCGGGTATTTCTTCATAGCACTATGAAAATGGACTAATACAATGACTTACAAATAAACCTACTCTATATGCAGATACGTGGTTTAGTTACCACAAAAGTGATGAGTTCATTTAAAACATTATTTAGCAAATTAACTTTGCTATGATAAACATACTATAATCAATTTTTACTAGAAATTTATATAACAAAGCCATTTATATATTTCTGGGTGATCATTTTCATTATAGTTGAGAGCCACATTCCTGAAATATTAAATGATTATTTTATTAATATCCTGAATATCTGAATATCTCATAGAGTTCATAGAAAAAATATTGAAGACAAAAACTATTTAAATTTAAATTAAATAATTGGCTGATATGGCCAGTGCTCTTTTTTCATTATGCACCTTGGATGTTGCAATGTAAGAATTTTGCAAATATTTCTTTATTGCTTTTACTGAGAGAAGTGATAGCATTCTTGTACTTTGAGTTCTTAATGTATTCATGTCAGCATTTCTGCTTCTTAGATCCAGTAATTAAATTCTACTTTGACATAATATTTTTTCAAATTGTTCAAACTGGAATTGAACTTTTTGTATATTTCTACAAAGACTAATGAGAAACCCATAGTGATTAATAAAAAAATTACTATATAAATATATTTAATATACTACATTACATTATGTTGTATTATATTATCTGAATCTACAGCCGCAAGAATCCTAATTTGAATTTATCCCATTCCTCTCTTGACCAGTTGGTCTGGGCTTTGTGTAATGGGAAATACTGTTGGAGAAATCAATGATTTCGAGAAACCTTTTAGAGTGATAGCATTTTCAGCTGAAATAATGTATTTTATTCTACATAATATATTTCTGAAGTCCTCATTCGTGGTTTATGAATTTAAAAAAGCACATAGTTAGCAAGGATTCTCCATGAAAACCATCCACATTTCTGATCAGCGAAGTGTGTGATTCTTAGTATTCTCATTTGGTTCCAGCGAATGCCTCCCTTTCCTGTACCACCACGGACTCCTATTAGCCACTTCCTAGGGCATAGAGACTCCAGTCGCTTGTGAACAAGCTTCACTGTGCCTTTAACTGTCTTCAAATAATTCTTCCAGCCTCATCACCTTAATGGACATTTTCCCTTTCTTGAGCACATTTTTCTCTTCCATTTCTGTCTCATGGGTCCCCAACCTTTTCTTGTCCCCTTTGGTTCCCAGGACCAGCAGATGAGCCTCACACACTCCCACCACCGCTAAGGCTACTTCCAAAATGAGCATGTTTCAGCCCTGATTATTCTGCTGCAGTGAAATGAGGGTTTCAGAAGCATTACTTAATTCCCCCAATACTTCACTTTTAATCCCCCAAGTAAGCTGATTGGACTCTATCTCTTTTCTATTTGATGATGAGAAAATTCAGTGTCCTTTGGCTTAAAAAATTAACTTAAAATTTTAATTTTAGTCCTGACTCAGTCAATTCTTTATTTTTTTTTCATTTTTAATGTTTATGTGTCACATAGCAGGTGTATACAGGGTACATGTGATATTTTGATACAGGCATGCAATATCTAATAATCACATCAGAGTAAATGAGGTACCCATCAACTCAAGCACTTATCATTCATTTCTTTATGTTATAAACATTCCAATTATACTTTCAGTTACTTTAAAATGTACAATAAATTATTGTTGACTGTAGTCACCCTGTTGTGCTACCCAATACTAGATTTTATTCAGTCTGTCTAACTATATTTTTGTACCTACTAATTATCCCCATTACCCTCTTCCCACTACTCTTCCCAGTCTCTGGTAACCATCCTTCTACTCTCCGTCTCCATGAATTCAATTGTTTTAATTTTTAGCTCCCACAAATGATTGAGAATATGTGAAGTTTATCTTTCTGTGCCTGGCTTATTT